AGAGAGAGAGAGAGAGAGGAGGAATGATTCAGCTTAGGAAACCCGCATGATCCGAGTGTTCGTGAGACCGCGCACTCAGGGGTACCCTCTTTCTTAAAGTTTTCTCTCTCTCCCTATCTCTCCTCCCCCGAATGGACTAAGGACTCACAGAGTAAGACAAGACAACAAGAATAAACTAGCCTTGATTCTTCCTAGCCTTTGGAGTATTGAAGCTTCCAAAAGGGGGACTTTTGAAGTGATTTTCTGGACCTTTTTACAAATGAGCTAAGCTTTCTTATATAGAGGATTCACCAAATAAGGATGAACGCTCAAAAGCCATGCTTAATTGTAATTAAATAAATTGAAAACAAATCAAAAAATTAGGTGCAAATGACTAAAATGTCCCTGTGATCTTTTACCTTAATGATGAGACCATCCCTGCATGTAGGCTGCTCCGCCATGGAAGACCTTAGAAGCTGGTCCTGCAACTTGCGGCAACTGTTCGGCTTTTTCAGTGACATATCTTCGTTCGTCTCTCGATTGCGAGCATTTTAATGCCCTTTAATCACGCTGTGATGGTTTTCTTCCTCAGGATGAAAGTCCGGCCAGTTTTACGAACTTTGTTTGCCAATGCATCTTCGAGCAACGTCGTTTTAGCTCTTGGCTTTTCTTACAAATTAGAGAGGAGGTCGTTGCAGTCATTTTACACCAAGTTGGGGCTGATTTGGTGCATATTTATGTCTTTGTCTAATTGGGAAGGTTGCCGGAGAAAGGGATTCCGGCAACCGACTGGATTTGCTTCTTTGGTGACCTGAGGACTTGCATCCATTGAACAAGCGATTGAATGCAAGAGTTATACCATAATGTAGCTCTGTGTGAGGTGGTTCTTTTGAACTCATCCTCGTGTTAATCCATGGCCTGGATTTTTAGCTATGCTTCATCGAATCTGAAGCTTGCTGATTTTTTCTTGGTTTCTCCAACTGCTTTCCTCTTCAGAGCAATGGGGGTTCCTGGCCACGCCATAATGAGTGCCTTTGGTCAAAATGATGGGCTGCCGTGATCTAGAACATGTCAATGTTTGAGCTCTGTCTGATTTCAGAGAAAAGTGTCGTGAGTTGGAGAAGTTACTACCAGAAAATAATATCGCGGTCCCCATTTCTGGGACTGGTTTGGTGAAGCCGCATCGTGCTATGGTAAAACTCAAAAGTTGCGAGGTCGCATGAGCAGCCCAGGCTCTTAACATGTATAAAGTGCACCATAGCCAAGACTCTATTCCAGATGCTTCCAATGACCATGGGACCACCACCAATGGATTTGGGAGGCTAAGATCACCATGTCAGATTTCAGTGCATTTTGACCCTTCTAGGGCCTGCTGCTAAAACATGGCAAGTTTCTAGTGACTAACGGTACACCAAATTTGAAGAAACCTACTATAGGGACCTCCAATGACTGTGGGACCACCTCCAGTGGATTTGGGAGGTTACGAACAGTCACCATGCCAAAATTCGGTGCAATCCGACCTTCTTGGGTCATGTTTCCCAAAACTAGTAGTTTTCTAACAACTCACGGTACCACATTTGGAGAAACCTACTCTAGAGACCTCCAATGACTATGGGACCACTACCATAGGATCCGAAAGGCTGAAAACAATTGCCACATAAAATTTTCAACATGATCTGACCTTTTCTAGGTGGCACTTTCCATAAAATCTAATATATTTACTATTCATATGAGCGTTTTGAACCAGTTACTATTTTGATTAATTGTGCTTCTCCAAAAATATATCAAGCTTGCCAATGTTGGTTCTCCCTCGTCTTGAAGCCAATGAAATCCAAATTTGGACATGTTGTTCCTCTCGCCGAGATCTACGTTTTGGTGGGTGGCATGCATGACGAGATGGCCCGAGCATAAAGAAATCGAAGAAGGAAAAATCATAAGAAAATGGTAAAAAAAAGGCAGCAATTTCAGCAACATGTATGCTCACTCAAGGGGCCATATCTCGAGATTTTGGGCACTAATGACTTCAAGAGTAGGTCCATTGCGACCACGACTCAAAGGGCTTCGTCTTGGGTATTCATAAACTCAAAATAGACGTCGGGAAGGCATCGTATGAAGGCACATTTTATGGCGCCGGAATTCCATTTTTCGATGACCTCCAAAATTGTTAAAGTGATCAAATGGCCACCAAATCATGGGTTTTCATTGCAAAGTGATCACATGGATTTCCCTAACGATTTGTGACAAAAAGAATGACAAAAAACAAGGCAGAACAAGCATAGTCGAAACAAGAAGAAATCAAGTTTGTGTTTTGGCCGGAGTTTTAAACTCTGGTCAAACATCTGATTCAAGCTTATTAATGGATATCAAAACGATTATCTTGATGAGCTCGACACTTATACGGTGTTTGTTCTATTGAAAAGTTGCCAGAACGTGCCGAAAAAGAGCTCGAAGCAGGGCTATAGCATAATGTCCCTTTTGGAGGGATGGTTTTGTCATTTCCAAGTTTGTTGCTAAGGGTAAAATGACCATTTTCCCCAAAAGGGATTAATTGATTAAATCACTTTATTTGTATTTTTCAACAATTTTGTATTTCTTGAGCATCCACCCATGTTTGAGTGGGCTCATATATAAGAACTTTATGTTCATTTGTAACCCTTACCTGACAAAATTAGAAATATTATTAGCAAAGAGTAATTTTGAGCTTGTTTTCTTGTGTGTGCCCTTACTTTTTTTTACTTGAGAGAGAGGAGAGAGAATATTTGTGTCCCTTGATATATATATATATATATCGTGGAGACG